TATGGTCATAGTGACAAAAAGAAGAACTCCCTCACCGCAGCTCTGAAGCTTAGTGTCCTCTGCTGGGAGTTTGTGAAGCAGATCCTAAGACACGGAAGTGCTTCCAGTTGTGTATTTGGGAAGTAACCCCAAGAAGCAGTGCAGGGGTGTGAGAGGATGAGACCAGGAAGGGAAGGAATTCAACAGAAGGTGAGTTGATCATCAAGTCACCCTGTGGGCAACCGGGGGTCAGTCTCTCAGGGAACTCTAGGGGACAGTGCAGAAAATCTCAGAATGCCCCAGCAGGGGCAAGAGAGCAGTCCTGGGGCAGGGTTGCCCCTGCAGGGGTGGTAAATTCCAGATGGACTCCTGTGGCCAGAGGAAGTGCTCCACCAGGAAGAGCAGGGCTTGAGTTCAGAGGTGACAGCATCTGCATGTACGCTGTGTGGGTCATGGTGGGCTGCTTGTTTTCCATCATCCCCTGAACGACTTACTACACAGTCAGTGGCTGCAAACCACACACAGTKACTATTTCAGAGATTCTGGGGCAGGACGTGGAAGTTGGCTGACCCATGGCAAATTAAAAAAAAAAAAATCGCATAGTCTGTGGGTGGCAGAACTGGGACCACKGGAATACAGGGGCCAACAGAGTAGAGGAAGTGGAGCCTGGGGGAGTACTGGGGAGTGAATCTACCAAGTTATGCTTTTATATAATTTTGAAACAGGATTTAAAATTCTAATAATAAAATAGAAGGAGCATCAATAGTGTAGAGCAAGAGGATCATGGGAGGAAGAGAGAGAGAAGGTCCTGGGGAATGAGACTGATCAAATTATGCATGTGCATGTATACACATGGCATAATGATTCCCACCATTATGTATAATTATAATGTACCGATAAAACAAATGAATGAAAATGATACTCTTTAAAACACCTAAGAATTTTATGAGAAGTGTAAATTGAGGCTGACCACCAACTCTAGGAGGTTATAACTTTCTATCAAAACTGGCCTGTGCTAGCAGAAAAGCAAGAAATGGACTTATTTTCTGATGAGGCTGAGAGATAGATGAGGGGACATTGTGCCTGGCCTGCAAACGTGACCTGCTCCAGCACCCTGGCTCTGCTGCCTCACCCACAAGCAGTCGGCTTCTATCTGTGGCAGCAGTCAGGCTGGCCAGGTGCACCCTTTCCGTCACAGTTTGAAAAGCTACTGTTACCATGGAGCAGAGCACCAAGGTGATGAAATGATGAATCTGACGATGAGCTACAGGCACGCATGGTCCAGAGGGGACCAGGGAAGATTTGGGCTAACGTTCAAAGCAGAATTTCCCTGCTCTGGGGGTCAGCTTACTTGGCCTGTGATGTTCAAAGGCTCCTTTGCATGTTGAACAATGTTGATTTTGGAAAGCAAACTGAGTTCAAAACTCCACATATCCTTTCCTGGGGAGTGTTACAGGAATACAGAGGGCAAAGTCCCCAGGCCAGCAAGGCTTCATCTCTGCTTCTTACAGATAGGAAGAGAGGAAGAGATGAACAATGCCTTTTCAAAAAGTTCAGCTTTATTGCCATGTCTCGTGAAAAGATGCCTCCAGTCAGCCTGGCTAGGGTGGCTGTCATGGGAGTCTTGCTCTGTGATCCTAGTAACTGGAACACGTCCCTTCCTTAGAGAGCCTTGTCGGGCTCTGGGAAGTGAAGAGCATACTTGGAGCCCTGTGTGCCATAAGATCTGCTGCAAAATACACGGGAACAATAAGGCAGCTGCAGAGTCATGAGGAATGGGCCACCTACGCCCTGAAATATCCAGAAAGTTGCATCAAAGTCTAATCCCGGGGTCTTCTTTATCCAGTAGACCAAGTTGTCTATCTCTCTGAATTGCTGGGCAACTGTGGAGAACAGAGGCAAAGCCTCGCCATTGCAGTCACGCACCTCTGCAAAACCCACAGAACGTTCCAGTACTACAGAGGACTGGCTTTGTGAGCTGCAGTTTCTGCATGTGCAGAAGAGGGTGTTCTCTGGAAAAAGGGCACATGTTTACATAGTGCTGTGATTTAAAGAGAAAAGTACAGACAGATGAGAGGGTCAGAAGCACCTGACTTAGTCACTCAGCAGAGCAGGTGAGGAGACTGGAGATTCTCCAGTTAGACTTCACCTTTCAGAGACCAATGACCACGGCTGGCTATGTCAGAGGCATCTAGGAAGTTGATGGACCCCCAGAATGGAAATAGTAAACCCCTCCATCTTAAAGCAGACTCTGGCTTATAAAGACTCTTTATGGAGCGTCTTCCCTTGGGAATAAGCCCTGGAGGAAGTGAGGGGGAACAAGCAGTGGGTGCTGCCCGTGGTAAAGCCACGCCCCGCTGGAGGCTCTGGGAAGAATGACCTGACTTCTGGAGGGTGGCAGGAAGGACAGGTGGCATTCCTGTGACATGGATGCCAAACCCCCTCCAGAGTCCTCAGTTGTATAAACGGCACCACAGTGATGACTTCTGAGATATGTTCGATACTCTCCTGCTTTCCAGAGGTGCTCAGTGAAAAGTACCAAGGTCAAAAAAGTTCAGAAACATCGTACAGCAGAGCTCCCTTCTGAAGAGTCACATGTCACATGTCAAAGCCCTGGAAAGCCCTGCAGAGTAGCGAGGGACCTCCCATCAGTCTAGCTCCATATTTGCCAGTATTGTTCTCTGATAAGTCCCTAACAATATGAAGACACATGTGCATGAGGTTATTCATTATCCTATAATTTAATAGCAAAATACTGGGAACAATCTAAATGGAAATGCATAGCTTCCACCTCTTCTCTATAAAATATGTATCTATAATTAAGGGCAACAGCGCCCTAGAGAAGTAGCTCASGCACCAGCAAAGAGACATTGTAACTAACTTGTAAGTTTCCTTTCTGTGGGCTATGCTTAGAATTTAAATTCCTGTCTCTGCAAATTGCAAATTACCAAATTTCATGTTCATTCAATAGTCAAAGCTGCAAATACCAAGTCTTTATAAGCCAAGAGACCACTAAAATATGCTTCTGTAAACATTGGTTTTCCTCCAGAGTAAATGATCCTTTGGGTAAAAAAATCAGAACACAGATTTTTACAAGAGTAGGATTCTCTCAGCCTTCCACCTACATGACCAGAAATGTACAATGTCATCCTGTTATTTTCCACCAATCTTACAACCTTTGGTGCTGATTTGGACACTCATTTTTCCTTTTGTACAGAACCATGTAAAAGTTCAAGGTAAGGAAAGCTTGTTTTGAGATTTGTTTTGCTGAGTATGGGTCCCTAAAATAAATTTGGCTCTGGTTTTGCAAAGTCCAACATGATATTTTCTGAATTTTTCATAACTAATCATTTTTACAGCTGTTATTATTAGTTAAGTGTTTTATGTRTATGAAGCCAAACATTCCTTTCTTGGACAGACAGATCCAAATAAATAACTTTTCTTAAAATGTTGTCAAGATAAAAGGTCAAGGGCTGGGGATGTGGCTCAAGTGGTAGCGCGCTCGCCTGGCATGTGTGCGGCCCAGGTTCGATCCTCAGCACCACATACAAACAAAGATGTTGTGTCCACCGAAAACTGAAAAATAAATATTAAAAAAATTCTCTCTCTCTCTCTCTCTCTCTCTCTCTCTCTCTCTCTCTCTCTCTTAAAAAAATAAAAGATAAAATGTCAAGGCAAATATAGACTCCTAGCCTGCACTATTCCTAGTGACAGAACCAAAGAAAGTCCTTGCAAAGTAAAAACATTTTAAAAGTAAGGGCAAGTGGATGGAAGGAGGTTAGAGATGATCGGAGGACAAGCCACAGAGTGGTATCTGGAAATCTGGGCAGCAGACCTTGGTGAAGCTGGTGGGGAGTGTTGGGCTTCATACCCCACGGCTGTGGGTRTGCAGCAGTGCCATCTGTATGGAGAGGGCCTGGGAAAAAGAGTACAGGACCTGGGAATCTCACTTCTGGACTCTGTCATGAAGATGCACTCCRGTTAAAAAGTGTACAAGGTGTTCATCTTACACTGTGAGTTGATGTTTAATGGCAAACTATTGGGAACAACCCACATGGGCAAAATAGGAGACTATTGAATAAGTTATGGTATATTCGTATAGTAAAATGCTGTTCGGCCCCATTATTAATTAATTAATTATTTTTTAAAAAGCAAAATCAGTACCGTGGTGCTCACCTGTAATTCCAGCAACTCAGGAGTCTGAGACAGGAGGATTGCAAGTTTGAAGCCAGTCTCAGCATCTTAGTGAGACCCTCTCTTAAAACAAAAATAAAATAGAACTGAGGATGTAGCTCAAAGGTTAAGCACCCTCTGTTCCATTCCAGGTACAAAAAAAAAAAAAAAAGAAGAAGCCAAAGAGGATATACAAAGAGGAAAAAAGAAAAATGTTTATGAATATGCTTATTTTTATAAAAATAAGCATAAGAAGGATAAATTTGTTAAAAAGAAAAGAAAAAAAAGACAACCCCTATTGAATACCAAAAGTTATAATTGAACCTAACAGTGGATCAAAGTGATAACATAAACTCAGAAAAGACAGAAAATAATCCAAATGAAAATAATCCAAATAATCCAATGGAACACACTCAGGGGATTGGTTCTAAGGACAGAAGGAATTGCACAAATATCTTGAATTGGATTTTATTGTTAATGCTATTGATATACCACTTTTGTGGGGGGAGTATATGATAGGATGGGGTAAATTAATAAATGCATCCATGTTCCTGGGAACTGAGATTCTCACTGTGGAAGAAGAAAGATAGAACTATGGTCTTGGCAATGAGTGCCATCACCACATCACTCAATAGCTTAAAGACTCATTTGCCCTGGTTCTGCCCACTGATGAGGCCTGGCTTCCATGATATCCTAGTATAAGTGAGCACACTATTGCCGGAACTTTCTCTCCACATACATTCTCCACTACTAGAAGAGAAACAACATTCTGGTCTCCATCAGTTCAAGAACAAAGCAGCCTGGCATTTCTTGCTGTGCCAAAGGTGAGCAAGTACTTGAAAACTCACAGAACTCATCAAAGGACACATGAGGCAGCCTGCAGTCAGCCTTGCTGGCCACACGGCTGGGACCTGGAGTGGCAGAAACAATCTTGCAAATAATGGGTTATGAATCAACAAAAAGAATCCATAAGGCCACCAAAGGGGAAGTAGAGAACACCAAACAGTAAATACAGAAGGTGTGACAGACCCCTAGAACAGTCAGTCGCCGCTGTGGTCTTCAGCTAGGCTTGTGTTATTAATGGCTCTGCCACGTGGGGTAAAGGTGGTTGAGGAGCAGCGTGGTCACAGTCTCAAGGCGTCAGCCTGCAGATGCGCTGTTCGTCCCAGAGGGCGCAGGGTGCCTTGCAGTGGGGAGAGCTGGCAGATCCCACTCTCACCTGTGACCAAGCGCAGCATCTCCGGTACTGGACCACACAGAGCTGTGCATGCCCAGTGTGATGCACCTGGAAGGAAGGAGGCGACAGCACCAGCGCTCCTGTGGGCTGGCTCCAGGGACCCAGGGGAAGAAGCTCCGTGGCTTTCCGGGGGTGTCGGTTTGGACTCCTTGGAGGATCTCCCATTCCTCAGGTTCTTGTCAGCTCAGTTCTTTATTCAAGTGGGTGATTTTTGCATTGCGTCCTCTTAGCTTGAGGGTCTTTCGGGGTTTCTAATTCACCAAGTTGCCAGCGGTGCCGAACTGCATGGTTTCTTTGAAAATGTCCAAATCGACACTTCCTTGTGTGTGTCACTGGGAGGCATCTAGTCCTTTGGCCTCATGATGTGGTGCCCTGTGGCCAGGGCTATAAAAATGTTTACAGTCTTCTTATTCAGTATGATTCTTAAGAAATTATCCTCAGGAAATAATCTAATAGTAGAAAAACACTGTTAGCACACACCATAACTTTGATTTAGGCAGCCGAACTCTGGAAACAACCTAACTGCCCATTAGGAAACCATTTACTGTGCAACTGCTAAAGTCATTAGGAAGACTACAGGAACTTGGCAGATGATTGGGGTACTAAATTTTATTTATTTACTTATTTATTGGTACTGGGGATTGGACCCAGGGGTGCTTTATCACTGAGCTATATCCCCAGTTCTTTTTACTTTTTGAGACAGGGTCTCACCAAATTGCTGAGGCTAGCCTCAAGCTTGCACTCCTCCTGCCTCCACCTCCCAGGTAATTGGGATTATAGGCACATCACATCAGGTCCAGAGATGTTAAATTTTAAAAGCCAAACATAAAATTTATATATAGCCTAACTGCAACTTCTACAAAAATATGTGCACATAGGGAAAAAATTATGTACAAAGAAGTTGTGTTAAATTGGTAGAATCTTGTTTAATATTTTGTTTACCACTTCCAATGCTTTGTTTTTGTTATGGGGAAACGCCACAGAAAGCCTCTTAAGTCCGAATTTCAAATCAAAAGAGAGCTTTATTTACCTGGCCAAGGACTGTCACCCATGCAGAGACTCAAGCTCTGTGGGAGGACAGCAGCTTCCTGGTCCGTTCAAGGAGAATATAAGGACAAAAACCACAACTCAGTGACTTGCTTATCAGCATGTAAGCTAGCCATTAAAGCATTGATAAGTGGGACCTGTGGGCTCTAGGCAGGACTGGAATTTTCCAGTCAGCAAGCAAGCGATAAACAGAAGCCAAAAAAGCATTAGCTTTGCAGTTCAGTTAACCACAGTCCTGGGTCAAGCAGGTGCTAGACAGTTGCATCCTGAATTTGGGTGGGAGTCAGTAGGGCGAGAATCTCCTTCAAAGTCATGTAGACCCACGAGGGCTTTCAAACCCAAGATGTAGCTCCCCATGACCACCGCTGTGTCCTGAGTGGGGTACAATTTGTGGGGTACAAAGTACAGAAAGACAATTTTTTATAAGAAAATAGCTTTCATTTCAGACTCTCAGAAACAGCTCTTGCAACAGTTTTCTGTAGAAGGCAACAAAATGGAGTCTTAGGGCTGTCTGTGACAGTTCTTGCTTTATAATTCTCTTATCTCACTTATCAAAATCTTATATCCATAATCTATATTTTTTACTAATCTATAACCCATCACTTACACTCTTATTGATTATTTATCAGTTCACACCACAACAGTTTTGATTTTTTTAATGCAAAAGAGTTTGCCACTTGTCTTTGCCCCTTGAAGGAGAAAGATATGTGTTGTTGATTCTGTTCTTACTGTAGTTTCGGCAGGTTCCTCTTGTGTGGGATGAAGATATCAATTCAGTCTTAAAGAGATAACAGTGAAGAGTCTAGCCCAGTAACTGGCCCAAGGAAGACTGTTAACAATTGGCTCTCGGCCTTTTATTCCTCACACCCAAGTATGGAAGGGTCAGTGCCCCCCTGCAGGTCCAGTGTGGATGTGGCCACACCAACTCTGAGGAGACCTTGGGAAGGTCCCTAGCAGACAGCACAAGAGGGTTCAAGAGCAGACACCTGAGCGGAAACCGTCCTGACCAACTCCCTCCCCCAGCTTCTGTTCCCCCTGTGCTTGGCTTACTCCTATGCCAATGGAGGCAGAGGACAGGGAGCCTTATGTCTTTCCAACCCATCTAAGATGAAAGGTAAACCACCCTTAAGTCCCTGTTCTGCCACTTGCAATGTGATCCTGGGAAGATATTTGTGCCCCTGATACTTGGTCTCTTCATTTGCAGAGGGACTGTGCCCCGTGCCTCACTGGTCTCTCAAGTGTCCCATAACTCTGCAGCCTGCAYGCGTGCAAGTTACCATTGTTATGTAGAAAAAGTACTCAAAGACGGGGTAACAGACTAGTTGTTTAGACATGTGCCAGGTCGACAGTACATGGCCTTCTCCTTCTTGACTGCCTTTCTGTTCTTATCCTCCTCCTCCACAAACACACCCTCAGGATGTGAAAAACACTGCCTGGTTAATGATAAGCCTTGTTTAGTTTCAACATCCACATTTCAAAAATCTCAAATTGGAAAACTGGTTATCTTTGTTTGCCTGTACCTCATTAAGGAGGTAGTATTAGAGAAAGTAGAAAATAATACATTTTTTCAGCAATTGTTTCAGCAACTGCCCAAACAGTTGACAGTCCCCAGGGATTTATCATCAACTAACAGTATTGAGAAATGGATGAATGGGGAAGTCTAAACAGATCCTACAAGTTTTATAAAACTGAGCAAATAGTTCAAATGAGAAGATAATATTTTGTGAAATTTTAGTGGAAGCAAAATTTTTACCCTATGTTCTGGTAGCCGTTTTGTCCATATCTGAGAGAATTTTGTCCACTGACCCAGCAATTCTATTTCATTGTTTAGAAATACCCATGTAGACGTGTGTGTGTGTGTGTGTGTGTGTGTGTGTGTGTGTGTTATTCATTAGAGATTGCAGTAGAGCACACCTGTAATCCCAGCAACTCAGGAGGTTGAGGCAGGAAGATCCCAAGTTCAAGAACAGCTTTAGCAACTTAGCAAGGCACTAAGCAGCATAGCGAAGCCCTCAAAATAAAAATAAAAAGGGCTGGGGATGTAGGTCATTGGTAAAGCACCTCCAGATTCAATCCCTAGTACAAAAATAAATAAATAAATAAACAAACGAATAAATAAATAAATAAATAAACAAACAAAAAGAAAATTTATTTATTGCAGTGCTATTTGTAATAGCAAAAAGATAAAAGGAAAACACCCCAAACTGTGATACCCGTAAGTCACAGAACACTGTACACCATAACTATTAGTATAGACATGCACTTCTGTGAACCTGGCTGAGGTCTTCACCAAACTGGCTTCTAAACATTGCCACCCAAGGTTAGGCTGACCCTCCCAGGTGCTGACCTCACTGGGCAGCCTGTGCCTCGTCCTGCCTAGAATAGAAGATGAGCGGTGTGCAGGCAGACCCCAGAGAGGAGGGAGGAAGGAGCCAAGATGGCCCACGGCCAATTCCTGCCCAGTTCTCTAAGGTAAGGGGTGGGGAGTGGCCAGACGGTTCCTCCAATGGACCTCAGAAAACAGTGGCCAGCAGCCCTTGGCCTCCGTCTCTTCTATACCACTCGTTTCATGTTCTGGCGAGAAGAGTGTCTACTTTATTGCTTTATGCAGCAATTAACACAGTGGCTGGCACTAGAAACACGGGTCACAAAAGGTGAAAGAATGAACCACACACACGGAGGACAGGAACAGCAGACCCCCCTGGCACTGGGCCAAATGTCCTCATCCCGAAGGCCGAGGACTTGGTGCAGGCACACTGTGCGTTTATGTAGAAATGGGAGTGTGGTCAGTAGGCACGGTTTGCTGCCTTCCCCCCCACTTAGTTCTGCCCCTCTTGTGTCCCATCTTCTGATCTCCAGACTGGGTCATTCCTACTGCACCAGCTGCAAGCTCACTGACCCTGCCTTCTGTCCATCCAGGGACTCTATTCTGCCCTTAGGGAGGTTTGGAATGCTCTGGGCTTTGGTCTGCTCTCTAGCAGAAGTCTGAAGAGTGGGGCCTGCTTCCACACTGAGCTGGTTCCATCCTCCAAGTGTGAACTCCCCTCAGCCTGGCTGTTGGTGTGCCACTCAGCACCCAGCTTGTCCCCATGGGAGAGTTGTTCTGAAGGGACGTTCCCCAGCCCCCGGTGGGGGTGGGAGGGGAGCTGGGAGCTCTGCGTGTGGCTGCCTTTGAGCAGTTTCCAGCAGCTTCCTGGTTTTCCTTATTTCTTGTTTTCTCAGCTATGTTCTTTTTATTTTTATTTTTTTACTTCCTAAGTCAATTTTTCTCTTTGAAAATTCAATGACCATTATCAAGTGTCCCCTTATTGTTAAATACAGGCACTTTGTTGTATTTACAAAAGAACCTCCACTGGAGCTTACCTGGGGCCCTGGCATAGCTCAGTGAAGTGAGGCTGGGCTTTGGAGCCAGATAAGCAAGCTCCCAATCCCAGATGCTCAGTTATCAGCAGGTGGCCTTGAGAACCTCTCACAATAACAACACGTTTTTCATCTGTAGAACAACAACAGTGACCCTATCACATGGGACGACTGTGACTACAAGAGATGCCCACCAAAGCCTATATTTGTGTTTGGAGTAAATCAGGAGCTCAAAAAATAGTAGAAATTACATTTTTAAAAGTACTTTTATTTCTTGTTAAACTTTTAGGTTCACAGCACCATGGAGTATAAGGTACAGAGAGTGTCCATTCTCCCCCCCTCACCCCCTGTTCTCCACATCCGAGTCCAGATGAGGGCTCACTCTTGGTTTTGTACATTTTGTGGGCTTTGGCAAATGCATAATGACACCTCTCCACCACTGCAGTAACGTGCAGAGCAGTTAAAAYGTGGATCTAAAATTTGCCCTAAAAATTCTCTGCGCCCCCCGTTCCTGCTGTGCCCCTTCCCCACTCCCCTACTGGCCCTTGGAAAGCACTGGTCATTTTGCTGCCTCTAAGCCTTGCTTTTCCGGAA